AGAGCACAAGCGATCAAGTGCGGAGGAGGATTCGACCCAGCAAATCAAAATCAAGTGCGGGATCGACGGCAGCAAAGTCGATACAAGTGGAGGACGAAAACGTAGCAAGTACGATAAGTGCCGCTGTGTATCAACCGCAGGAACGCATCAAATTGATGGGATCGGACCGAGGAAGTCCGATCAGGAGAGGGGATGCGACTCCAAGCAAGTCCGACAAAGTAGGGATCCGACCCGCAGCAGTCGATCAAAAGTGGGAATAACACCCAGCAAGTCGATCAGTCCGGATCGACCGACGTAAGTGGGGGATCGAGATAGCAAGTCGATCAAGTAAGAGACTCCAACCCAGCAAGTTCGATCCACCAGTGAGGATCGACCCAGCAAGTTCGATTCAAGTGGGGATCGAGATAGCAAGTCGATCAAGCTGGGGCATCGAGTCCAGCAAGTCCGATCAACTGTTCGGATCCGATCCAAGCAGTTACATTTGACTAACGACTGAATAGTATATCACCTATTTTGTCAGTCCAGTCCTACAAGTCAGACTCGTCTGAGTCGAACCGTCCGTCCTCAGCCGCACTGTCCGTTCGTCAGGTGACTGTCCGTCAGCCGGATCATATTGGTTCCGTCAGGCTGACCCCCGGCCGCATGTCCTGGCGAGCAGTCTGCCGTCAGTCAGTCTGTCTCAGTCATGCGCATCCGCAGTCATCTGTCCGTCAGTCAGTCTTCCTCAGTCAGTCTGTCCTCGTCATTTTTCGTCAGTCTCGCTCGTCAGTCAAGTCTGTCCGCTCAGCTCCGTCAGTCAGTCTGTCCGTCAGTCAGTCTGTCCGTTCAGTTCAGTCTGTCCCGTCAGTCAAGTCTTCCGTCAGTCAGTCTGTCCGTACATTGTTCCCAAAGTTTTCTTTTCCGTTTCTCCGTCCAGTCAGTCTAGATCTGTCCGTCAGTCAGTCTGCCGTCAGTCATCTGTTCCCAGTCGTCTGTCCGCAGTACTTCCGTCAGTCAAGTCTGTCCTCAGTCAGTCTGTACTCACCGTCAGCTGTGTAGTGGATGCACGATTTCTTTCAGATAGATAAATTATAAACTTTATTTATTTCGTGTCTCATTATTTTTACCCTATGGCTTAACTAATCTCATGGAGTCACTAGATTAATAGACTAACCACAACAGTTGCCTTCCACTGTTCGTCAATTTTCATCTCGAAATCAACATCCCTGGCACAAAAATGCTTGTGCACATTCACCTAAACGACCGACACACGTGCATTGCGTGGATATTTATGACTTTATCAATTACCAGATACCTTAGACTTTATCCTAAAAGATGTGAATCATTTACAAAGTTTTTTTATAATTTAATCAAAATCCGCAAAGGAATTATTTTAACATTTCAAAATACAAAGACAAATGTGATTGCGCATGAACAATCGTGAAAAAACCATATATACGCATTTCTTTGAAAACGTGGCACAGTTTAGGTCATTTTAATACATCTTCTTAAATAATAAATACTATATAAATATATATATTATATATATATATATATATATATATAACCTGTTTAACAGAGGTAGATCTAGATGGAAAAAATCCAAAAGTTCCAGAAAATAAGACTGCTTGCTCGAGCGCAGCGCTCGAGACGTTATCGGTAAAGTAAATTTTACTTATTTTGGTGCTGCCACGTGGTGGATACAAATTGTACTAGTGTCGGGACATTTAGCCTTAATATGTGGGTGCTGTACACAGCCCCGATAACAGCTGGAAAAGAGTAACTTTCTTGCCATTCCATCTTGGAATAATCGAGAGTCATTGCTGTAGTAGGTAATTTAACACATTCCTTCCTTTTTCCACGATTCTGTTCAGTACATTACAGTTTTGGAAATGGTGCTCTGATCTACACCAATTTTCTCAGCCTTTCCAATTTTGAAACCAGTGTTCACCTAGTATCACAAAAATATTCTCATTTGCGTTTAATTGTTAACTGCCCCACCTCTGGATTCATTATATTCGCCGAGACAATAATTCGCCAACCACTGAACATTTTCCGCTTGAAAACGGTACAAAGTTTTATAACTCTTCTCTCAGTAATTCTTCTCTCTCTGTACACCTTTTGATGGCGATATCGTACAAATGTTTTCATCATTCACTCACTCGCTACATAAAACCACATAACAGTCGTTTATAACCTCTCTTCTAAACATTCAATACTATTTGAGTCACCTACAGAGGTTGCTCCAAAAATTCGAAGTAAATGCTTCTGACTAGAAAGAAATTACCGATTATTCATACGTAAAGTAAGCAATTCCTCCTCAGCCGACAATTTTCGAATTTTTTTGAAAAGTAAAATAATTTCTGTTGGCACATATGCGGCCAAATTTATTCAAAGTTCGCGCAATGCTTGGAGCTCTTTCAGTTTGGCTACTCTTTGAAGGTATTTGAGAAGAAAAGATGATACATTTCAAACTCTCCGCCTTCGAGATTTTATTCAGACAAAAACGCGAAATCTCTCTCAAATAGCAAAAATTTGTTTTATACGAAGCTCTTTGGAATGGGCCTTCACCCGCTTCCAAAAGTGACCGGTAAATCGCACCATCTCTCACGCCTTTAATATGCTCATTTTCAGCTATCTTTACACACTATTGCAGTTGTGACGAAGTGCTTGAAATGATCTAATATTAAGTTTTGAAAATTCAATAGTTTCCAGTGGAAAAGGTCCGAATTCGAATTTACAATAGCGCTTTAAACGCCATTTTCTCAAAACGGCTCCAATTTTTTCAAAGATAATTTTTATTTAAGACGTTTTATTGCTCTGTAATCTTAAATTAATATTTCCGTTTAACTCTTAACAAATAAATTAAGAAAATTTCAAACAAATGTACTTGGGCGGCGATAGGTGGCAGCTAGCTTGAGTATGTGGCAAACCCGAATAGCTAGGTTTAGATTTAGTCAAGAAAAAGTAAAGACTGTATGTGACGTATGGGGGAGAAAATAATCTGCGCACGTTTTCCTGAGTGCAAGAATCCGTTTCTATCATTTTAACTATGAATAGTTACAAGATGAGTAAAAGTTGATTTTAAATAAATAATATTTAAATAAAACACGAGATTAGCCACATTTGAAAAACTAGACATTTTCGTACCCAAGTTATAGAAAACTTGTTTGCAACGGTAAACTGCAGATTTTATTTTCTGCATTGCTAACAAAATACTAACTAGCCCTTACCTACTATCACTACAAGCAAAAGGAGAGGTCAACAAAACGTGCGCATAGTGAAGATTCATTTACGTCCAGAAGCAAAACCAGGGGTCATCTCAGCATTTGCTCAATGGATCAAGGAAACTGGACAAAAACCTGATGGAGATGGGGTAATTGACCCAGAAGCTGAGGTACATTATTTGTTACAAGCTTATTAAGTATTTAAAAAAATGTACAATACAAATGTAAATTTATTTATTATATATCACTGTTTTGTTAAATAAACATTATTTTTCTTTTTTATGTTCAGTACAGTCTCTAATTGTCTAGAAACAGTTATGCAGCAGAAAAGATTTTACTTTTAGCTTAAATTTGTGTACCAACTTCAGTTGTTTAATGTCATATGGCAATGCGTTCTAAAGTAACGTGCATATATTGTATGTGGATTGGATTGTGGTATTGAGCTGTTGATACTGACACTTGAATGTGATTTCTACATGTGTTGTAATCATAAATATCAGTATTGCATGAAAATATTTTCCCACAGTTAAGTAAGTCACTTTTGACAAATATTACAGATTCGTAAATAAATAGGCAAGGCAATGGTAAGATTCCCAGCTAAATGAAGAAAGGTTTGCAGGGATCACGCGGATGGCATTTTTTTATTATTCGAATAATATTCTTTTGCAATCTAAAGGTTTGGATACATTATGAGCTTCCCCAAAATAGTATGCCATATCTTTGGCGGGAATGCACATTTGCAAAATAAATGCAACACACTGCATGAAGGCTGACAGAATGCGTAACATAATGAATTTAATTTCGTGTTTAATTCTTATATATGTACATTCCATTTGAGATTTGACTGAATTGAGAGACCCAGAAATGTTGTTACCTTAATATCAGCTAATTGTATATTGTTCATTTTCAATGGAGAATGCGATTGCTGATTAGAAATGCAAAAATGCATTAAAACTGTTTTCCTTCGTTAACTATTAATTTGTTAATACAAAACCAATTTGAAACGTCTGAAATAGTACTATTTATTGTTTCTTTTTTGCAAAGAAAATTCGTGTCATCGTCAAACAGAACTGTTTTTCCGTTTTTAATACACGATGGCATATCATTTACGTATAATAGAAAACGGATAGGACCTTAGAAAGAAGCCTGCAAAACCCCATATTCAATTGGTAAAGTCAAGTAAATAATGTCCTTCGTGCCAGTACGGTATTTCTACTCTTTGAGATCGATGTTTAAGGTACGAGGTTATCCAACCTAGGGCGATACTACGAATTCCATTAGAAGGTAATTTTGATAGCAAGATGTTATGGTCAATAACGTCAAAAGCTTTCGAAAGATCTAAAAATATTTCAATGGGTCCTTCATTTTCCTCCATTGATGAAGCAACATCTTTAAGAAAAGAAAAACGGCAGTTTCTGAAGATTTTGAATTTTTAAAACCGTGTTGTAAGTCTGAAAACGCTTCGTTTTTCTTCAGGAAAGTTTCCATTCGCGTATTGAAAAGCCTCTCTAACATTTTAGAGAAAACTGACAAAACAGAAATTGGCCGATAATTTTGAATTTCATTGTTGTACCCTTTTTTAAAAAGGTGGCTAAAGTTTTACTGTTTTGAAAATATCTGGAAATATTTATGTGCGTAAAGCAGCATTTAAAACGTGAGTTAACGAGTGTATAAACGCAGGTACACAAGTTTTCGATAAAAAAATCCGGAAATTCATCAAAACCAGGTGAATATTTATTTTTTAGTTTACTGATTATTTTCAGGATTTCCTTAGAAGTTAGGAAAATAAACATCGTGCCGAACATTTTTGGAGAAGGTTAATGAAGTTGAATTTGGTAGTCTTTGTCCCTTCGTCAGTTCAGCCGTATTTCTAGAAGTGTTGGTTGAAATTAGCCACTTTTTCCGGATTACCTGCTTCTTCATTATCCTTAAAAGTAACATTCTCTACTAAGTATAGAGATGATGTGGTCGTATTTTTTACAATATTCAACATTGCTTTAGTTTTGTTACTTGCGTTAAAAATATCCTGATTATTATTTTTCATTATTTTTGCCGAGCTATCCGAGACCAAAAGAAATACACAACTAATACGTGAAAAACTGTGCCATCCTTTAGCACCACTAGTTCACAAATGAAACGGATTTTAGCTCTGTCAGTGCGTGAATAAATTTCTCTTTTCCCTGAAGCTGTTTTCAGACGGAACACTGAAAAGGATATTCTCAGTGTGAGTACACATGTGCCAGTATAAGTCTCCTTTTACTCTAAAGCGATTTACACAGATGGAACACTGAACACTTTTCACAATTATTGGTGCGAATGTGAATTTTTAATTTTTTTCTCTGACCCTTTTCACATATAAAACACTGAAAAGGATTTTCTCTACAATGCGCGCGCATGTGCCTACGTAAGCCTTCGTTTTCAATGAAGCACTTTTCACAGATGCAACTCTAAAAAGGTTTATTACCAGTGCGAGGGCGTTTGTGGTTATGTAACTGTCCCATTTCACTGAAACTCTTTCCACAGATGAACACTAGAGGGTTTTTTTATCAGAGTGAGTGCGCATGTGCCTATCTAATATTCCCTTTCGACTGAAGCTCTTTTCACAGATGGAACACTGAAGATGTTTCTTATCACTGTGTGTGAGCATGTGGCTATGTAAGTTTCCACTTTGACTGAAGCATTTTTCACAGATGGAACACTGAAAGGGTTTATTACCGCTGTGGGTTCGCATGTGGCTATGTAAGTTTCCACTTTGGCTGAAGCTCTTTCCACAGATAGAACACTGAAAAGGTTTATTACCAGTGTGAGTGCGCATGTGGATATCTAGGATTCCTTTTCGACTGAAGCTTCTTTCACAGATGGAACACTGAAAGGGTTTACTACCACTGTGGGTGCACATGTGGGTATCTAAGTTTCGTTTGTGTCTGTAACATTTTTCACAGATGGAACATCGAAACGATTTTTCACCAGTATGCGTGCGCATGTGTCCGCGCAAGTCTCCCTTTTCACTGAAGCTCTTTCCACAGATGGAACACCGAAACGGTTTATTACCAGTGTGCGTGCGCATGTGTCTATCTAAATTTCCCTTTTCACTGAAGCTCTTTTCACAGATGGAACACTGAAAAGGTTTACTACCAGTGTGCGTGCGCATGTGCCTCTCTAAGTTTCCCCTAACACTGAAGCTCCTCTCACAGAAGGAACAATGAAAAGGTTTATTACCACTGTGGGTGCGCAAGTGGATATCTAAGTTTCCTTTTGCACTGAAACATTTTCCACAGATGGAACACTGAAAAAATTTACCAGTGTGGGCGCGCATGTGAATATTTAATCCTGTTTTTTGTCTGAAATATGTTTTGCAGACGGAACACTGAAAAGGTTTTTCTCCAGTGTGCGTGCGCATGTGCGTATCTAAGTTTCCTTTCACACTGAAGTTCTTCTCACAGATGGAACACCGGAAAGGTTTTTCTCCTGTGTGGGTGCGCATGTGTTCATGGAAACTTCGTTTTCGAGTGAATCTCTTCTCGCACACTGAACATTGAATGGTTTTTCGATCAGTAGCGTTGCGCATGCGAGTGCGAAATTCTCGAACTGTAAAGAGAGAACACTTGAATTAGGATTACGTAGCCTTAAGGCGAGTAAAGCACTTAATTTACGACATATATGGTGTTGACATCATATTGGAAAATAACTTTGTAATTAACTCTCAATTGATTTTCGTAAAGATGCAGTAATATAATTCCTTACATCCACTGTTAACGATATTCATGGTAGAAGAAAGACATTACCTTCTACAGTCCTAGTGACGGTGAATGTTCTGCTGATATATTTAAAGTTAAAACAACGCACATCTGCTGCTGTGGACGAAATTATATAGTGACAAAAGATATAAAAGTTCATTATATTCCTTGTCGCACGGTTACAGATCCTTAATCTTTTCACTCAATTTCAAAAGTACAGTGTAGTATGAGGCCGGCAGGTTGCCAAAATTCCTTAGTCTCCACATCTGTTCTCATACCACGACATATGTAATTGAGTTTAGCAACTATTGAGCATTAGGCCAAGTGGTCCGCCGCATTCATATTCCCCCTTATCGAAATTAAATACTTCAACTGCAAGGTCCTTAAAATCACTTCGAAATTTTAAAATTGCCAGCTCTTTGAGAGGCATTTAACGCGCGTTCAGATTTTTACGTTAAATTACGTTTAAAGAACTCGTTCGTTACACACCCAAAGCAAACACTCCACTTCACATTCAAGATCACTTAGGAGCGAAACCCTAGCGGAAAAGAGTTTTCCTGAACAACGAATCTCTTGAAGCTAATGCAAAGGGGAATTCCGACACCGATGCCCTCAACTGCTTCAAACACTTCGCACACTAAATTTGTACATTGGCATTCACTCGGCAATTCGTAAACCACGAGTCCTGGAAAGCAGGTTTCTAGAACGGAACAAAATTGCAGTAGTGTCACGTTCACCCGAATTGATCTGGCCTGGGCCCCTTTCTTACACGTGCATTTCTCGGATCAAGCAGAATATCATTGTATTAAAGCACAGAAATACGTAAATTACCAGTTACCATACGTGTCAACCACAGCAACCTAAACAATCATAATGCAGGGATATCCAAACTACGGCCCGCGAGCCACATTTTACCTTTAACAGTATTCAATGTGGCTCGCCAACCCAAAGTACACTTTAATTCGAATGATTGATTTTTAGTGACACAAAGCGCGTTATTTACTGAGGACTTAAGTTCCGTTAGTTTAGTGCACTATTTTCATCGGAAGCGGCGGTCATGTCCCCTTTGGATGGTGATACGCAGCGCCGACTAGCGGATTTTTCCCCAGCCAGTACGGTACCGAATCAGTCGGGACAAGCTCTAAGCTCCCGACCGGCCTCCCGACGTGTGGTAGTGCAGCGCACGTTAGTGTAAGAAGCCTTTGCAAAGGGCGAGGATGGGACGAGGAGGAGGAAGGAAAGATCGCGCACGTCTCGTGGCTCCATTGATAGGGAACTACACCGACATCCTCCTGGTGTTGAATGCACACCACGGCAACTACCGATAGGAGTAGCCACATCAGTTGCCAAAAAAACGTGGCGATCGTGACAATTCACAGTTGCCAACTAAATCCGACTACTTTGGCATTTTGGTTGCCAAAAAGACGTGGGGGGGGGATCACAATTCCGGTGCGAACAAAACGCGGGGATCATTACAATTCGGGTGGTAAAAAATCTGGCGACAGTCACAATTCGGTTGCCAACAAAACGTGTCGACCGTGAGCATTCGGTTGCCGACAAAACGTGGCGACCGTAACAATTCAGTTGGCAAACAGTGGCGACCGTAACAATTCAGTCGACAAAAAGTGGCGACCGTCACAATTCAGTCGACAAAAAGTGGCGACCGTCACAATTCAGTCGACAAAAAGTGACGACCGTGACAATTCAGACGACAAAAAGTGACGACCGTGACAATTCAGACGACAAAAAGTGGCGACCGTGAGAATTCAATTGACAACAAAACGAGGCAATCGAGATAATTTATGTGCCAACATCCTCCACATAGTCACAGGAGGACACTGTGCAACATGTGGACAAATTCGAGATAGTCAACAGCCATTGACAGCTGGTAAGATGACAGCTCAGTGGCCCAGGACCAAGCATTTGGATACAGTCCGGTTTGTTTACATCTACTTCATTCTCTCGTTGGACAGCTAATACGTCTTACACATACACCATTGGTTTAGATCAGACACTGAAAAACACTGAGTCTGCAAACTAACTGCTACGTATCACTGAAGACGGAACGATTTGCAGCACAACCGACAGAATTGGCTACCAGCGCAATACCAAAGAAACGGGCGGTTAAAAAAGGGTATCCTGTATCCCACTACCCACAGAATATACTATTACACAAAATGCCTCCACTCATTGTTATTTTATCGTAAGACTAGCTGTTTATACTCTATTGAATAATTTTTTTTTAATTATGGACTAAAGATTTTACAAATTACCGACCAATGACATGAATTATTTATGACCTCCGAGACTTACTGATGAGTCGGTTGATACTGTCGTTTCCGCGTTAGTAAACTATAGCTGTACCGCTCGCAAAAAAGCCACCATGTGTGACGTGATGTGAAGTGACGGAGGCTTGGTACTTGGCGAAGTACTTGGTGAAGTGAAGGAGGCTTCCCCCACCCTGCGGCAGCAGACATTTCCCCTCTCGGCGATACGGAAGCGCGACAAGGAAAACGAAGCGAGGCGAGGCGAAGCGATCACAAACACCGTCAATGGCCATCACTGCCCGCATCGTCAGACGAGGAACTCGCGCTGCCACAAGTGTCCAAAGAAACAATTCGTCAATGTGTTGGTGCATTACAGTATCTTACTACTGAAACCCTTCAAGACGTGGCTTCTTTTTCTCCTGATCGTTTGGACAACCCCTGCTGCAGAAACACGTACGCTGCCTATCGTCTGACCCTTCTCACTCGACAGTTTGTGATCGCCGAACTCTCAGTGTTGAATTCGCGACAGAGAGCGAGCGAAAGAGAGAGAGAGCGAAAGAGAGAGAGCGAAAGAGAGAGAGCGAGCGAAAGAGAGAGAGCGAGCGAAAGAGAGAGGAGCGAAAGAGAGAGAGGAGCGAAAGAGAGAGCGCGAGCGAAAGAGAGAGAGAGAGCGCGAGCGAAAGAGAGAGAGAGAGCGCGAGCGAAAGAGAGAGAGAGCGAGCGCGAGCGAAAGAGAGAGAGAGCGAGCGCGAGCGAAAGAGAGAGCGAGCGCGAGCGAAAGAGAGAGCGAGAGAGAACGAGAGCGCTATATTGTGACAAAGAGCGCAGGCAGGCGGAGAAATGTTTGTATCTTTGGACAAGAAGGCCGCTTTCAGGCATCACGGTGCCAGCTTTTTGTTGTTTTTTCTTGTTCTTCTTCTTTTAGTCTGGTGTAGTTATAGATTACATTTAACTGGAATTTTACGAAATTACTTATTAAAATCTTATTTCCACTCACCTGGGGAACGTAAAGATTTTGGTTCTACTGTTGCAACAGAAACACCTTCACAACACGCCGCTAGAGGATCCTACAACAAGACATCAAAAAACATCACAATGCACCGAGACTACAAAGACAAATGTATGAAGGGTATCTAAAATATTCGTAATCCATGATAATTCTCATTCACTAATACTCTCGAAAACCCCTTTCGCCTGGTTAAAATCAGCAGACCCATAATATGTGAGAAGTATATATCTAACACAACTTTTAATTTCCGTCATGAGGTAAAGAGAACGATATGCAATGCAGAAAATACATGTCGGCGTATAAACGAAAATACGTTTTGGGGTACCCAACACCGCACATAGTCCAGTCAAAAGGTGTCTGCGCCAGGAAAATATTCCAGGAGGTTTTTTTTCTCAACGGTTCTATATGCTTTTGAAAGTGCTGAATACGAATTTTATGTTTGCCACCCCAAAAAAGGTGAGCTTCACAGAGAAAATTGCAACAACAAAAACGCTGTTTTTGTTGTTCATTTATATCGTCGTTTTATCGAAACAATTATTACTTATAAAATTAAAGTAGATAAAATTTCCTACAAAACGCATACATTAACTTTGAATTCTGAAAAACGGTTTAGCCGCTAGAACGCGATGAAAAACTTAGTTTTTGGGCGTCTGGCGAAAGCGGGATTTTTTACAATAAATTAAAATGTCACAAATTCTTTACATATGATAAGACACAATCGCCTCCTATTTTATTTCAGTAGTATACACACCTTTTGCGGCTCTCACACGCAACTACTCTTTATAAATGAGGACTCTAAAGAAAGAGAATTTCACGGATACTTGACGAATTGCACTTTCACTTTAAAAATATGAAGGATTTGTTTAAAAAGACGCACATAAATATTCACCTCAAATGCAACCCACAGCACTCAGATATATTGTTAAATGCAACCCACAGCACTCAGATATATTGTTAAATAACTCCTAAACGAAACGTTCTCGGGGTTTAAAAATTAAATTTTGAGGCCAAAGGCTACAAAGAAATGTTCATCACACTGTAATCTACCGGATGAGATATTCTTGGACATTCTATTAAATTTTTGGCTGTTTCAGCACTTATCAATAATACCAATGCCACCTAGATTTCAATCCTTGGTGGTGAGAGACATCTTTGTTATGTCATGCTTAGAACCCTCTATCTTATATTATATTTATGCTCTGAGTACACTCTGCTTTGCGGAGACTGACGGGATTTATTTGCATAATTATTAATTCAAGATTCACTCTTGTTGCAACAACTTGAACTATTAATAGTTACTTGATATCGATGAAGATGCACTTCTTATGCGTGAAGTGAAAACATTCATTTCACGTTTTGCTGAGGTTTACAAGTATTGTGTACCTAATTGTGGACGGTGTGGGTGTACAGTGAAGAGTGAAGACGTGTCTTGTTAGGTTTCATTTATGTTTTACTTGTACCTATATTTTCGTAATCACCAGTGATTCAGTGAAACTTTTGAGCATGATCAGTCACGTAGCTATCTCAAGAGTAAAAAGCTTTTAATATTTTTGTGAATATCATGAAAAGCGGAAAGCTAACTCTCAAAAAAATATTGAATAATTATTTTAAATACTTTTAAGGAAGTGTTTTGAATTGTTCCAAGAAACCTGCCAATAATACTGAAAAAATCTTTAGTGAAAATTTATTTTCCACCTCAAATGCATTGTTTTTTAATTTTATTTGATATTGTGTCAGTACATTGGATGTCACCTTTATTAATTTTTAAACAAATAAATACGTTTCGTTAACAACTTTCCCTATTAGAATGGAAATAGAATAGGGAAGGGAGTAGGGTTTAACATGCAAGAGTTCTCGCATAGGTACGCGGAGTTAGTAGGGAAAAATGTAATATAAAAAAAGTAATGGACTAAAATTACAAGTATTTACTAACTTTAACTCTCTTACCGTAATCCAGCGCTTTGCAGTGTTACCATCCCTTTGTAGAGAAATTTTTACATTGAGGAATGAAAATTATGAATATTTGATAAATACTCTAATTTCAGGCACCATCTAGAATTGTTTAATTTGATAAATTAACACATAAACCAGTGAATGTCTGAACTGAAGCATCGCTTCAAAGCTGGGAATTAATTTTGCAAGGAAGCATACTTAATCATCGCAACCAATACAATAAAATTAAAAATTTTGTTTCATCCACTCTAAAAAGATAGATGGCTTGCTTTCTCCGCCCTACAAAATGCTAATTCACTGACAATATATAATTGTTACTTTTGGGAGATAATAACAACAGATGTCATGGCAAGTGACTCAAGAGTCATCTACAAACTAGCGTAACGTGACAATGTTTCTGCTTGAACAAATGTCTTCTTACCTAAAACTTGATAGCGAAGTCTTGTCCTTGACAATTATGACATAAGAACAACAAAGGTTGCTTTTAGTTTTTACATTCGGACTTTAATGTTTACCAATAAATGATTAAAAATGTACTTGATTATAATGACTTGTGTAGTTGAAGATGGAGATCAATATTCTCCAAAATGTAGAATTTAAAATTGAATATAAAATATTCACAAATAACTGTGGAAAAAAGTATACAACAATTGAATCACTTCTGTATAAGTGATCTTCAATAAATGACCATTGTATGGTTATTAAATTGTTCATTATGTGACTGTGTATGGAGACAGGAACCTCAAGTTCGAATTCAATGACAGTCTTTTAATACAAATCTTAATTCAGTAAAGCATAAATGCCAACACACGTTTGCCCAAATAGGCTTTGAGTTTAACAATTCACTGTGCAATCCTGCCTTGACATTATGTCAATGTAGACCTACATGAAAACCATACCTTTGTTTCAACAAAGGCTCCTTCTTGCTTCTTCACTGGCTGAACAAAAACAGCATGTGGAGGCTCCAACTCCTCCTGCACAGAGAAACAACAATATGTCAAACTAGTAGAGCTACAACAGCACATACTTTCTTGTGAAATTGATATTGGTTAACAAATATAGTACGTTGCCCATCCATCCTAATGCTATTACAAAAGTCACTCTTGTTCCTGCAGTTAAAAAAATATAACATTACTTCAGTTTATACTGTAACATCGATTATTTTTTCCCCACAATTTTAGCAAAGCCTTTCCTTTCATGGCAGTTCTGCAAAATTCCTCATTCTGATAATGCACTAACCATAGCAGCTAATAAGCAAGTAATCATGATTAATGTTTAACCTACAGCCACACTGTCACGTTCATTATTAGAGCTTGAATGTTCATAAACTAGAAATGTTGGAAATAAGCAAGCATTTATGACCTAAAAAATATGAAAATATGACTATACATAAAACAATCAAATTTTGGCTGCATCGTCGAAACCCGAATCCTTCAAAATCTTGCCAGTGTTTATATAATCTTATATTGAATGCGAAAAACTCTTTGAATCAACTGCAAACTAACGTTACAAAAATCGATTCAAGAAGACAAAAATATAACAAAAAAAGTATTAAAATTATGCCAACACATGACCATAATATGAAATATTAACAGAAAATGACAAAAGGATTTCAAGAAGAGCCAAAATATATCTTCGTAAGAAAAATAATTCTAATCAATGTAGATAAAATCATGCTGAACTTATATTTCCGATGGACATAACACAAAGAAAAGATAAGACATGTCATGAACATCCAGGCCCAATTCATTATGTATATCACACAATGGGTTGAGGATAACCCACAAAAAAAATTTAATTTGACCAAGTTTGAATTTTAGTAACTCACTTCTGCTTTATTTAATCAAAAACTCTATTGTTCCCTTTTCATTTACAATAGGAATTACTTGTCCCAATGTACTAAAAATTATTTTACTTTATTTAAGACAGGCGAATGACAATGCTCACATCATCTCTATCATCTTCTTCTTTCACCGACTGCTGTAAAGCACTGGTTACATCTTTAGCCTGAAAGAAAAAAAAATCCATGTAAAATCACCGCTGCTCATTGATGCTTCCAAAAACGTGGTACTGTGGTGAAAAATTAACCAAGCTTTCCCTCCAAATTCAAATAAAAAATTGAAAAGCTCTACAAGATATTAACAATATTTAGTGTAAACTGAAGAGCACATATTTTCACTTTCCATTACAAAACACAAGACAAAAATGTCATATTTTGTCACAAAATACTATTTAGATTCAGGGAAAAAACAGATGATGTGTTTTGAAGCTACACAGAAATGAAAATTCAACAAACAACTATTATATCCTTGAATCAAAAACGTGTTAGTGACCTTATGCTGATGAGTAAATCTTGCTAATTTAGGAAATTTTCATTCAAATGTAGAGTTTCCCTGATGTCTACTTTGTTTCAATTTTTATTATTAGCCCTTCACCCACAACCCGTTGTTTTATTTCAATCCACAGTAACGATTTCTTACTAAAACAAAGTAGATTTAAGTTATTTAACTCATTGTAACATGAGAAAACCAGATACCTAAAATTTCATTAAGCAAGTAACGTTCTTTATTATCCCTAGCAATATTAAGGAGTGAATGATCTTGGGCTAACCAAGGAAGCGCCTCTGGCCATTCCCCAACAATGTTTGTATTTAATGACGAAACCTCACTACTTTTGATGTCAAAAATTTCTTATGTATCTGTAAAACATAGTAATGTTTTGCACTATATTATATATTAAACTATCATACTATTTTTCTTGCATGTTCTGCTAGAACAATACAGTTGAATTTGATAAAGAAAGAATGCCTGCTTTTTTGTGAATATCTCAATAGACATTTATATATTTCAGCTGAAGTCTAGTAAACAGTACGACTTATGGATGATGCTTTAAACCGGCACTTTGTGCTGGTCTGGTAGCAACTGCCCAGTTTGAATTCTAGAGGCTTTTGTGAAAAGTACTTTCTTATAAGTGAATTGGTAGATTTTAATTAGTTTTAATCAATAACACTATTATAAAACTAACTCACAATAGAATTCCAGCAGTAGTCTTCTATCTCGTCCACTGGCTCTTCTTTGAACTGGAGATAACAGAAAAAACTGCCATTATCAAGCTCATCTTGTATTTGAGAAACCCCACATGTCCTTACTTCAATATTTCTCATCAGGCACCCTAAAACTGCTTATTTTCAGTGACAAGGCCTAGAAAATATACTTTTTCTACACTTACATTTCATGTTGGAGAAACCCTCCTTTTTTAATCGAGTCACTAACAGTCATTTACGAAAGCACCACAAAGGAAGTTAGGTGTACTATTTTTATTCTCTTGAAACAAATAGTTTCCTCACTTTGGAGAAAGAAAAAACTACAGTACAACATGGCCAATACAGAACTTGTGTAAAAAGCGAGGCTGCCTAATGTGAACATAAGCCTCAGTTCTAACAAACGTATATTCTGTAGTACTAAATTGTATAAATCAGAATCTTGTCTGATGAGGAAAACTACTGATCCCATGAGATTATGCTTTGAGCTATTTTACTGTAACTTTAAATGTTTTCATATTCATACATTTTCACTGTCATATATGAAACTTTCTTTTGGGGTTGGTTCTGGTTTTTTGTTGTTTTTTAATTTAATATATTAAATTATTTGAAACATTCTTGTCTCCTAGTTCTCCCAATAAAATGATAATTCACTATTGAATAACGGAAAAATCGAAAAATAAAATTTTTTAAATGTGGATCTTGAACCACCAAAATCATTACAAGATACAAAAGAAAGTTCTGAATCTTAATTGGAAAATAAAAATAAATGTCCATGCTATTACATTAAACACTTGACATCATATTAAAAATTCAATATACATGCTAATGTATTATTTTCTTGACAATTTTGGCAAAAAAAATTACTGCCTCTTTTATTTACTTAAACAGAAAGGTAAAATCTTCATTAAACCCCTTTTGGCTGTCACCTTCTGGTAAATTATTTTTCCTCTTTTCCTAAAGTAAAATATACAAAATAGAAAATGTTTTTAGATTGAAATGATGGCAACATCAATATTGTTCTTTTAGTACAAAGTTTTCGAAGTACATGGATAAAGAAGTGTATTTTTTTAAGAAATATTTGTGATTTTTATGGTCTATTATCTCTGTTGCTGCCATTCTTTTACAGTCGTTCAGCCTGGGATATTTTTTTTATTTTACTGACAATCCTGAATGTAACCAAATTGTGATGAAGTTTATCAATGATTACTATAAAAAACTTAATTAAAAATTAATACCTTTAATGGAATCTCTTATCAAAAAATATTGCTACATTAATTTTACATTAATATTAAAATTCAGAAGCTGTGGATAGTCAATATTGGGAAATGCATTAAACTATCTCAATATCATAGCTATTTCAAAGACCAGAGCATACTATAAATAGTGTTTCTTTCAATAGAGGCTAGTAAAAATGGATAACTGCACTACACATTTGATTAATTTCATCAAAAGCGGTGCGGTTCCATCGAGTTATAAAAGGCTTGTAAAAACATAAAACTAAATGCACATGTGTGCCATTTCTATTATTAGTAGTTTTATTATAAACATATGAAACGCAAAAAAATTGCTTACCTCTTCAATTTTGATAATATTTTCCGCTAAAAGATCTATCCCATCCATTGCAATCAGTACTACTTCCAACTACTTCGCTCCGGCTTCGCTCTCGCTGATGTTATCAGATGTTATGTTTACAGCTTCAATCAAAGAGTTTCAATAAAAACAGACTAGGGCAGAAAGCAAAGAGAATTTATCACACACGGCACTCAAAGGGAAAACCTTATTTGCCCAACTTCCAGTGCCGCCACATTGTTCTGTATAATTACTATTGGGCAAACGGACAGCCAATAGCAAAGTTGTAAGCGGTAAATTTTAAATTAACCAGCTTCACGGGAACTTTAAAATTTCATTCTTACACTTACGTCTTCATTTATAAAAAAAATAATAATAACAATAATAATTTTAAAAGTTTTATGGAAGAAAAAAGTCAAATTAGGGCAGTAAAATCAGGTATTTATATTAGATATGACACAATTTCAATAGAATTAACAATATCACCTAAGCCAATAAACAGTACACCAGCTGAAATGCAACTTCACTAGCTTGTAGACATGTCAAATTAATGTGAGTGCTATGGAATACTGCATTATTAAAGAGCATTGTGCATGAAAAATACAAAGTGTTGAAAAGAAACAAATAAAAACATTACCGCACATTTGCCCAGGTAAAACAAATAGTAATGATACAAGTGCCATTTTAATTTGCAAGTTGGAAAGGTTGCATCACAAAGCCAATATATCAGGTGCCCCAATCATACGAGCAAAATAAAACCACTTTCATGTTTTTAAACAGTATTACTACCTTTCATTTTTTTAATCCAAGAATACAATTCACTTAACAATTTCACGGACCTATGAGTCATACGTGGTTCACAAAATGTAACAACCAATGGTTTTAATGTCTGTGAACCACATGTGGGTCACAAACGTTTACAACTTCTAAGGCCAATATTTCCACAGAACTTGCCGTAGCTGCACAGATTTTGAATTGGACTTGCTAGGACAGTCATAGAGTTTTGAAATACACCTGGACGCGTAGAAAAATATTTCACTTTTTGAGAAAATAACAATAAAATTATTATTATAAAGTCGTTAGGACCTGCAGATATTTTTGATGCTTTCATAGAGATGTTACATTAAAGTCAGTAGCACCAGGTAAGGTCACATGAAACTATTTTGTTTTCTTTATTGCTTTCAAAATATTATCTGAACATTTGAGCGTTATCTCACTTTCAGCTCTAGAGCAAAAAAAATGAACTTTTAGAATGCTAAAAGGGGAGAAATTTATGGGGGAAACCATTCGGTTTGCTTTTCATATGTATGTACTAAGTTATGCATATTGTTCACACCCCTCCCCACCTCCCCACCGTTCCTCACTTTACAAAGCAGTTTGGTGTGGCCGAGAAGTGCAATGCTGCCACAATTTCCTGCTACGAAGCCATCCCTATCCTTTCGGACATCTATGGCTGATCTGTAACATAGCGGTTCGGCGCGCTTTTGGCGTTGTTTATCGCAATTTCCATGCAAGTATTGGCGTTTCGCCTACTGCAGAACATCTCTCGGACGCTTGCATGTGGCCGTGGGATCCGGCTCGCCCAAAGTTAATTTTCTAATAAGGTGACGCGTTTATTTTTGAGAAGAAATTTGCAGCTGAATTTTTAAAGTGCTCTGCGAGGAGCGGTAGATTTAAAATGGAGTGAAATTCTGCAATTCTAATGTAACGCACAGTATGCTAGAAAGGCACGCATTTTGGACTATTTGCAACTTATTTAAGTGTGCGTGCGCCGCTGTTCCCCAACTTGGGCAGGCGTGATCCATAATGGGCCTAATCATGGCTTTATAGATCAGCAGGCTGTTCGCTGTGGACATTATTTGGAATAAGGGGATATATACTTCACTGGCCAATGTGAAACTAATGTTACTGCTGTGAAATATTCAATGTAACCAAACTAAACCACTTATCATAAAATGTGCACATGAAAAGTGAAACCTTAAAAATCTCTTTGGATTAAAAATTAACAGCTTCACAAACAATTAAATTGTTATCTTCCAAAATGCCATTTTTTTCAGATTCTTATGCATTACACACTTTAGATAATTTTCTTGTTCACAAACATTATGTAAAACACAAAAATCAGAATATGTATCATGCCAACACCTATAATATACTGCCCAACACATCACCAGTATCCAAGAGAAAATCACCATACATTTTGGATGTTATTTAATTATTCACATTACTAATTCATATTTTTTCTTTTGATTAGCAACATCACTAAAGTCCAGAATTTTGGATATACTAATTTATTGTGAAAATGTACAGGAAAAAATCACCTTTAAACTTCATTTTTCCCCTATTCAAAAGAAACATTGGATATTAATGTATGTTACAAGATACAAGTGTATTTAGCAAAAGGCATTGAGTAAAAAATTGAATTCAATTTACTTCAACTTGATTTATCTCAGAACATAGTTTTTGGAAGTCGGTTTCACTTGTATTCAGGTATTTCTGATGATATATTGATGTTTAAAAGCACAACAATTTGTTAAATGGACATCAGATGTAAACCCAAAGATAGATCATATACCCAGAATTACTTAATAATATTTGTAACAGGTATTGAATAGGTCTTTAATTATTAAGAAAATATTTTTATTATTGTCCTTTAGGTTATGGAAGCTATTTTTTGATGCACATTGATGCGAAACTAAATTGAGGGACATAATTGATGATTAACACATACAAATTATTCTCATTACTCAAACATTGGCCAACTTGTGCTTGTGCCATGATACTCCCTTTTATTCTCGTCATTCCACCAAACGGAGAATATTCACATATGACTGTATTTATATAGATAAAATGCAAGAAAAGTACTCCTTAAAACTTCCTTTTTTTTCAAATATTTGAATGCTTAAGTTCGTGACAATTTAGTCTGTTGCAGGCTTAATTAAGAACATTTTAAAAGAAAACTCAGGCTTTTGAAATTCAGAATTTATGGTATGTCGATTTCAATCCACACGCAAACATATTCCCATCACTTTTGACATGATTTGTATCAATTCTTATAACATTCGTTATAGTGACAGTATTGGAACAATGTAAATCACTCGTGAGAACTATCTCTATCTCCAACTACATGCACTCAACTCACACTAATAGTGTTGCAGAACAACGCAAACAATGGACAAGCGGAATATTTATCGCAAAGACTGCATTTGATATTGTTACAATTTACTTAGTATGTATAATTATATGTATGTGTATGTATGTATGTATGTATATATATATATATATATATATATATATATATATATATATATATATATATACACATACATACATATATCAAACTGGTTTATATTAGAAAATATGGATCAAAAGAATGTCTATTATTCTTTCTGAATTAACACTGTTCCCTGTTTCTAGTTGTGATTCTTTCCCTTGTTGCATTTGTTCAAGAAGTACTAAATATTTAATTATTTATGCTATTTATGCAAGGGCGCCGTACACAAAAATTTTATTAACAATTTTTCACATAATTTGTTTTTCTTGTTTTAGCTATTCAACTTGGCAGTGTCATTAACTTTGAGTTGTAGGTTCAGATATTGATACCAGAGGCCCAGTCTCAATCCTCGAGTTCAGATTTTTCAGACGACCGCTGAAGCCTCACTGCCAATCAAAACCTTGCGTCCTAGACTCCCATCTGGGGGATTTTGTGTTTACTACTGCTAGACTAGTTGGGCATGCAGGACGCGAACGCATAACTTCTGTTGTTTCAATTGCCATTAACAGTAAAAGGGAACTTGCTTGTGTATCATTACTAATTAACAAATAAAATTTAAATCAATGAGTATTCAGTTAGTTTATCTAGCGGTTCACACTGCCCAGTTTTCTTCCAGTTGCTCTAGGTGGATGCGTGTTATTCTGCAAAACCACATACGTCAACTCTTGACCAATAGGACGCAGGATGTTCTGTGGCATGGGGCGGAAGGGAGATACAAACACGGGCTCGATCACACTCGACAGCGGTCGCCCTTCGCCCTATGTCCGCCACATTCACCACTGTCCATTCGTCCAACTCTTGGCTTTTCGATTTCCATCCGTTTCAACGCAATTCAATATTCCACGAACCAACATCACTTCAAGTTTCGTGATGCGACATTTGAGTGGAGAAGACCATTATTAGCGGACAACTACGTCACTGTGCGGGTGCTGTCAAGTGAGAGGTGCGCTCGACCAACCCCGCCATGCGGTCGCCGGCGATTCTCGTTGGGCGTTCCTCTTGGCTGTTACCGGCGCTCCTGGCGGCCAGGGTGGGCGCGTACCAGGACGAAAATAGGTTAAGGATACGGAAGTGCTGCGACGAACACCAGGCACTGTCAGGCGACGGATGGAGTTGCGAAGACGCTCGGTGGCCAGGGAACTTCTCCATCACGAAAAACCTGTACAAGTTAGTTATTCCTCCTCTGGACGGGGAGTGGGTGCGCCGCTGGTTACCGCTCGGTGCCCCGGTACACGCCATCAGCCACGTGAACCTGCGCTCCCTGACGCGCATTCCGACTGACACGCTCTCTCCTGTAAACGCGTCTAGCGTTTTCGTTTGGGAAGGGGGCGTGCTTGAGAAGGAGAGCCCCAACAGATACACCGTCAACTTCCATAAGAATCAACTAGTCGCGAGGCCCAAACCCGGAGGGGGGCTCAGGTGGGCCGAGTACTGTGTCGACGCCGCGCAGGCCCCCTCGTCGCCCTTCGCCCTGCAGTTTAGAACAGAGTGCACGAGCGAGGAATGCGCTCACAAGTGCTGCAGAGGCGGGGAACTGTTGAATGAAAACGGAGTGCGATGGACGTGCGAAAAGGATTCCGAAGGCTACTGGCCGCCCAAGAAGTCTTCTGCCGCAGACTTGGACCCGGAGTTTCCCTACCAGGACAACCGCTTGTGCGACCACCCACGCCTCCTGCCGTTCGAGAAGCGGTACGTTCAGTGGTCGCGCAGCTCTGGAGGCGCTCACAACTTCCCCTTCTCCACCTGGCACACCTGCTTCGACTTCTACCGCGGCGGCAACGGCTCCTTAAAGGAAGGTCTCTTCTACTGCGAGTTTTCGCGCGTCACCAGAGGCGCCTACTGGCTGCTGCGGCCGCTGTGCTGCCTCTCCGCCCTGCTGTTGACGGGGTCGCTGCTGTCTGTAGCGTGCGACAAGAGCATGCGGCAAAAGATACACGGGCGTTGCCTCGCTAGCCACGCTGCCTGCCTCTTGGCTTTCAACATCGGCCAGATTGGGTATTTTTTCGCCATTAGCGACCGTTTTGACGAACAAGGAAAAAGTGACTCACGGACTGACTTTCAAACCGAGTGCGCATATTTTGGTAAGTATATTAGAGAAAAAGTGAGATGAGAGAGTGAGTGAGTGAGTGAGAAAAAGTCATACACATCTATCTTTACTTTCTCGTATACGTACGTATATATGGAGTAGCATACGTAGACTAGGCAAAGTTATTTAATGCTATGGAAAAGTGATTTCGAGATTTCAACCAAAATACACATTTTGGGGTTCTCTGATACCGAAAACCTTTCTTTTCAAAATGTTCGCCCGTCCATCCGTCTGTGAGCCCTACTAGTGCCTCGACCAGAGTTGGGCAAACTTTTTAAAGAGGGGCCAAGGGAAATTTAAAAGAACTAGGCGGACCAATAAAATTCATTAAAAAATAACAATGATGTATCTTACACAATTCTCGAATTTTTGTGATACTAAGCTCTATTAAAGACTATATATTTCTGAAGGAAATATGATGAATAAGACGAAAGAAACTGTAACTGCATTTCGAAAAGTTTCTCTTTATTTAGTTCGAACCGGGGTG